ATTTCTTTCCATGAAATAAAGCAACAAACAACAGATTTAAGTTTAAAGTTGTCTTAAATTTAGAGCGGCGTAAACGTTTCTGAAATGGAAGACATGGATTTCTAAACTGTGTGACAATCTTTTTTGGGAAACCCTTTTGATAAAGGATTGTAAATACTGAAGTCCCAAAAAACTAGAGGCAACCATAACGTGAGGAAAATCTAGGGATCACAATGAGCCGATTAAAAACTATCGCATAATGTGCACTTTCCGAGAGTAAGCGAACAGGTATGAATTACGAAAATTAATTGTAAATAAGGGTCGAATCGGGCCAGATCGAGACACATCGAATTTTATTCGTAAATTTAACGGTAGTGAAAATGTATCCTGTCTACTAGCCTGCAGTGCAGGCGTCTTATTGGGGCGAGTTAGCGTTACAACCTTGCGACTGCCATGTTAGACGGTGGGGGATTGGGGAGGGGAAAAATGAGAACATGTTCTTCGCCCCACCGCCTCCCCTATCCTTCCTCTTGCCTATCGTTCACCCCCTTGGTAGAACATTCTTTCTCTCTCCAGTCTTCCACTGCATGAAAAATTCAAGATGGCGGCTTAACTTTTTACGATGTGAGCGCTCGCTCCAATAAATCTCGCCTGCTCTACAGGCTACCTGTCTACTTGATCTTGTGTTACGCTAGCATTACACTTGTTTGGATTGGCAGTGGATATCTTCGCCTTGATATAATTCATTTGTATAATTTTTTATTGTAATTCACTAGTAGCATGTAAAATCCATACGCAATTCAATCGCATGACTGCTAGGTGTGTATTTTTTAATAAACGATTAATGTATCTATTTTTCTAAACAAGTCACACGAGGCAGCCTTTTGTTTCGCTCTCTGCACTTAATCGTGCCTCGTACGGAAAGCTTCCAGAATTCCGGACAATTTCAAGGGTAACCCGAAAACACTGACCCCTGTCCGCGGACCACCACTATGGATCGGGTCCATAGATTACCTATGGACCGGTATACGGACTGCCCCTAAGGACCCCCTCTACGGCCCACCCCCCAAAATAGAATAGAAATAAGGAATAAATATTTCACTAGTGGTTTGTCTAATAGATTACTCATATCGGCGAAATTTCGAGTGTTATACTGTGCAAATGTAATTAACACGTCTCCCCCTCCCCCCAAAAATAAAAAAAGAAAATGTCTAAAAGCTATTTTCAGCGTAAGGAGATGCCGATCACAAAAAGAAGGAAAGTTCTTAACTTTCATTCGTGGCTCAATCGGGCTACGGTAGGTGTGTTTTAAGGTTGTTTAAGCCTGTTTGTATCTGTAATTCCTTTGAGCAAATTATGAAGCCTGAGTTCACGAATCCACGCGAGAATGGGCTGAACAAAATAGTAGAGGGGAAAGCGCACAAATTTCGAGGCTTCCCGGAGGCTTCCCGGTCTTTCATATACTGTATGGCTACAGCAAAGGAAATGGCAATGTGTCAGTGATATAACTTGCGCCCGAGCGTGAACCCAAGAATGCTACATTTGCACACTGTAACGTTCGAAATTTTGCCGACAAGAGTAATCTATTAGACAACCCGTAAGTGAAATTCTTGTTTCTAATTTTTATTCTATTTTGGGGGTTGGTCCATAAGGGTAGTCCGTGGACCGGTCCATAGGTAGTCCGCGGACCCGGTCCGTAGTGGGGGTCCGCGGACCGGGGGTCAGTGTTTTCGGGTCACCCTAACACGTTACGTGTATACAGTTTCTGCAGTTTGATCACGTACAGTGATTTGAATCAATAAAAGATCGATTCACTCTACAATTGTAGTGTGAATGTAACTGGAAGTGATAGGGTGAAATAGGACTCCTCTGCTCCCTGTGTTTAATAGTTGTTTGCTCAAGGTCTGGATCCGCCCTGTTTGACACCATCGGAGTGTTTACTTCGACGTACGGAGTGACTTAGGAATTTTAGCGATCTATCGGGCTCAATTCTGAGAGTTCTTCAGTTTTACTGAGGCTGTTGAGGTAAGACAATTTGTTTCAATGTAATAATCACGTGGTGATAATGGATATCCATGCAAATACTTACTTGCAAGTTTATTAGTTTGTTACTGGGGGGCTGTAATTTAAGATTTCCTAGAAGGATGCAACGGTGGGGAGCAAGAAAGTCTCGCTCCAAAATCGCATTCGAATTTACCACATTTTATGCGTTTAACTCGTGATCACAGATATTCCTAACTCTCTCTACACTTAGTACACGTTATTCGTTGTAATCTTGTGTATCTTAGTGACATTGACTGCCCAGCGTTCTTTAATTCGTTTTTAGCTTGAGAATCGTAGCCACTCAGCCCCAGAGTGATCGTGTTAGCGTTTTATATCATGCAGAGGCTTCTCGATGGTTTCGCTGCAAAACGGTCATACGATTCTAAAATACTAAACATTAAATATCCCCTAGATGCCCAATGGTTTAATTGGAGCAGAACTGGAAACCCCGCTTGTCTGTAACAACGGCCAAAGTGGAAAAGAGTTCGTCGTTATTAGGGTTGCTACTATAATTACATTTATGTCAGTTATCTATTTTCGTTCAGGTACGTTGTTCCACTAACTTTTGAGCCACATGTGGATGGGGTAC